ACTTTTCTAGCCATAGGGAAGGGAGCAGTTTCTTATTGTTGAAGCAGATCTTTCAGACCTTCCGGCCAGCCTGGTCGGGGCAGCGGTGATGTTTCCACCTCCGCACCGCCTGGTGCAGGTTCCTGTTCTTCTGCCAGGCGTAGGCCTTGTTCACCACCACCTTGTCACTCTGTACTTCACCGCTGACAACGAAGAGCCCTGCGTGAGTGCCTCTCATGATGTTGTGAACGCAGGTGGCATCTATGTCCAGCCACTGCTGGAGCCTGGTGGGGATTTCCGTTCTGAGGAGCGGGCCGTGCTTCAGGACCTCTACCCTGCCAGGGTCCAAGTCGAAGTCAGAGATGGTGGCGGTCATGTTCTTCCTCAGGATTCGGATTTTCACTGCTGTGGGGGTTGGAAAAAGAGCTGTTAGTTCTGTTTACTTTTAATAGCTCTCACCTGCTTAAACACACAGCCAACACAAGGCTTTCGTGCTGTTTCTGTAATGACGCATCCAGCCAAGCTCCTGGAATTGCAGTGAGCTATTAGAAGTTCTCATCTGAGGTGAGTTTCCAGCACTGAACACTTCATCTCACTCTGCTGTCCTCATGAGAGTGGCAGAGGTGTATCAGCACTGCTTCGTGGGCAGAAACCCTGTAGGAAGCAGGGGCACCAGCAAGGGGGTGATCAAAGTTCTGGTCTCATGCAAATTACTTGACGTTTCTCAGAGCTGGGATTTCAGGAGGTGACATGACTGCCAGCTGCCCAGGATTTTTAAACTTTTTTTTTTTTTTCTTTTTTTTTTTTATTTAAATGAAGGTTGTATGCCTGAATTCAAGACAGTATCTGGAAAACTTCCTGCCAACTTACTGAGCAGAGCCAGTGCTGGCACCTGCTTGGGCTAGGAGAGGTAGAGTCACATTGCTGCAACAACAGCATTGCCATTTGAAATAGCTAATGTGGATTTTGCTAGAGGTTTCTACAGACATTTATGAAAATGTTGGTCTCAAACCAGAGCAGTGCTTGTATTTAGCAGCCACAAAACAAATTTGAGCCCACAGAAATAAAGTACCTTCAGTTCTGCCTGGAGCTGGGCCCTACTGCTCCATAGCAGGTAAATTGGGACCTGAAATTCCCTGAGATGTGCTGTAGAAGCTGCAGTTCCTCCAAGGCAGTTTGTTATGGCAAAGCCATTTTCTGTCTGTGCCACTACTTGGCTGCTGGAGGGAATGGCAGCACCTGAGGAAGAGGCGGGTACTCACCAAAATCATTGGCACAGAGGTTTTCCAGTATCTCCCTGGCAGTGCTGGCCTCCTCAAGCTCACAGTCCTTGCAGCTGGCTCGGGGCACTGCTGTAACAGAAATTTGGTTATAACACCCTCGTCAAGCTTGGCTGGAAAGGCACAATGGAATTTTGAGATCTGGGAGCAGTGGCTTGTTTCTGAGCAGTGCTTCTTCCCGAGCTACCCAGGCCCTGGAGAGACAGCTCAGGCTGCCAGGGTGGGAGAAGTCCAGCTCTCCTTTCTGTGGCTGGGGCAGACGTTGCTTGTCGTGCTTTGTTTAGGCTTGTGTGCATTGCTGCATATTAAAGAAGGGGTGAAAAAGCTTACTTAGTGCAAGTGAAGGCATTGGTATGGCCAGACCCCATCCAGTGACGCTGAAATGAAGTGTCTTCCCCCCTTAACTGCTCTTGAATCTCCCCCAGTGTTCATCAGTGTCTGGGTGTTTAATTTAGTCTTTCGGTCTTAAAGGATTTTTTTTTTTTCTCATATAACTTCTGTCTGCAGAGACTCACACCCCTTTGTGGTGTTTCCTAATGTTTAAAGAGAAGGCTTGCAAAACATTTCTTTTTGCATGTCTTCAAACCCTGGGCACAGCTGGGAGATGAGGGCTGCAGCTCCTCAGCTCTGCTGGAAGCACATCTCGCCGCCTGGCGCCTGCACACCACGAGCTCCCGGCTGTGCCTGGGCGTTGGGATCTCACAGCGATTCATCTGATGGCACCCGGGGAGCTCATGAATGCAGCAGAGAGGGGAACAAGCTGCCGACAGCGTTACGCTAATTTTCTAGACACAGTGGAGTTCCCAGAGAGAACAAAACTAGAATTTATAATGATTTTTTTTTAAAATACAGCTTAAACCCAGAAACATTAAGAACAGAAAAAAGGCATAGGCCCATCCTTTTGAGCTTTTAGTGTTACATATGGGAAAACGTGAGGGGAAAAAGAAAAAGCCCTTACTTCTCCTGCTGGAGGGATTTTCGTCCGTGGAGACTGCTGCGATGCACAGCTCGTGGTCCTCGGGAAACTTGTTGCAGTTGAGGATCTCGGGCCAGGGGAAAAAACAAGCCATGACGGGCGCGCAGCTTCTCTTGACAGCCTCGCACAGGCTGCGGCAGGGGTAGATGAGCCTGGGGAGGGGATGGGGATTGCAGCACCTCCGGGGCCTGGCAGCGGGCTGAGGGTCGAGCCCTGGCAGCGCGCTGCTGCCGCGCAGGGCTGCGTGCACGCCGCGGTGCTGGCAGAGTTCCTGGGGGGGCTTTGGTGTGTTTTGAACGTCCATGCCCAGGAAGCAAACAATGAGTTTCTGAGGAGGGATGAGGCTGTTCAATACAGGCTGCTGGTGGAAAAAAAAAAGCCCTTTCCCCTGCCAGGGATCTTCTCTAGGTGTGCAAAGGCCATGTACCATCACGAGTGCCTAGATACCCAGTCTTCTTAGCAGCTCTGTACATTGATGGCTGCACCTCAAAACTGAGGATTTCTCTCTGCTGCTGGCATCGCTGGGCTGAGGAGAACCCCCTGCATGTTGAGGGCAGGAGCCAGGTATAGGGGGCTCCCAGGGAGGTGGGAGGTGAAGAAGGGGATTGCCAGTAGCTACTGCACTGTGCAGGGGGGCAGCCGGCAGAGACAGCAGCAGTGCCTGGGGCGGGAGAGCAGGAAAACCCAGAGGAGGGACCATAACGTTTCTTCTCCTGCGACATGAAATGCTCATGTTTCACTTTCAGAGGGAAGATCCCTGCTGGGTAATCCAATTTCCCCTTGCCAAGAGGCCAGAACAGCTTCTCAGGGGGCTGTGCTGACCACATTGCACAAATTTTCTCTCGGGAGGCAAATGCAGTTGTGCTCCTGGAGAGTGTTAGTTGCTACAGTTGAAATAACTTGTAAAAACATCTTACCTGTCCAAGCAGACTGGTGCAAAGAGGGAGCAGAGGAAAATCCTAGCATCCGGGTGGCACTCCCTGGCCAGCAAGGGCAGCCAGCTGGAAGACTGCTGGATCACTTCTGTCATGGTCTCGTGCTCCAGCAGGTTGGGAATCCTCATCTCGGAGTAGCCGATATCATAGCACAAGGCCATGCGGTGTGGAATGGGTGTGCAGCTGGAGGATCTCCTCAGGTAGCTCGCCCAGGCTCCTGGAGAGTCCCAGAGCAGCAGGCGTGCCAGGAGAGCCAGCAGCCATGGGCCACCCGATCTGGAGGGGTGCCTGCAGTGAGCTGCAGCCATGCTCGGAGCGGGCGGGCGGACGGAGCACCCCGGACTGGGCTGCTCCCGACTGCGGGATGCCTTTTATAGCCTGCGAGCCACCTCTCTGTCAATCCACCCTCATTAAGTGCGGCCCTTTCACAGCCCTCATGGGGAAGACAATGCTCCAATTTTTGTTTGCCAGTGGCCCCGATTGTTTGGATTTTAGCAGGGGTTTGGCTTAGATCAGCAGGTGTGGAAATGAGGGCAGTTGGGGAGGGATGAATGACTTGGCCCATGTGTCTTTGGGCTCTTTCAGCCAAGACTGAATCTCTGTTTGACACCAGTGCTCCAACCCATCCCCTTTCTCTTGCTCCAGGATTAGTCATTATTTCATAAACCCCAATGTTTTCCTCTCTTTTGTTTTTTGTGAAAGCAATCAAGTGTTGCTCAAAGTCAATTAGGAGGCATTTGTTTAGCTGGATCTATTGTTGAGCAGGCAGGGAGATAGGATGGTCTCACAGCCAGAGGTTAACCATTTTGAGGAGCTGAGAGTAGAGAGGAACTAATTTGCAGCTGTGGAGCCAGGTTGTTTGCAGATGGGATTGGCAGCGTTTAGCTGGAAACCCCCTCACTTTGCAGCCTGCGTGGCAGAGCACACTCTCCAGTTAACAGGTTTTTTCCTTCGTTATGAAATCCTGTTACTTCCGCTGAAGAGCAAGATTGTCCTTCCTCCAGCACGTAATTAAGATTCCAGAAGCCATCGTTATTGTAGCCCAGTTTTAGGAACTGGAAGTTGTGGGGGTGTTGCTTGCCAGCACACACGGTTCATTCGGACCCGGTGCTGTGCCACGAGGCTCAAACCCGTCAGTGGAGGCTCGGGCACTGCAGCATCCTCTGGCACAAGGACCCTGTGCTGCCTGTGGCGGAAATTGTTTCCTCAGAGGGTGTTATGGATACAGCCGGCTGCATTGTGTTTCTGGGCTTCCCAGGAAATTTTCTACAGGGCTAGTTCTGGTCTGTACTGAGCAAGAAGCCAACTGCTTATTGACAATTTGAGCTGATAGAGTTGATTTAAGGTCATGGAAGCGATGAACTTTTTTTTTTCCCCTTTTGAGGACTGCTGCTGTAGTTGACGTATAATGTGTCAATGTGTCCTTGGCACATACCTGCAGGAGCTCTTGGGGACTGCAGTTTGAAGAGCAGGACCTTGGGCCTAGGAGAACTTACACCTGTCCTGCTTCAGGGGGCTTTCTTTCCCTTTTTACAAGTCTCAGAAGCTGCTAACAAGATCCCTGTAGCAGTGACAGACATCAGCCAGAAGGATCTTCTCAGCCTGCGGGGCCACAGTGTAACCATGTCGTGGAACAGGACCTTGCCAGGGCTTTGCAAGCAGGTGCCCAGTGCACCACGCAGCTAGACATCTCTTGGCCTCATAGTCATTGGTGGATTTCTCTGCATTTAAATTTGGATCCTGGTATTGCCTGATTGCTGCTGGTGTTGTGCCGCAAAGGAAAGCTGGTGATACCAGGATGCTATCTGGCTATGGAGCGTGGCATCCGCCATGCTCAGTGGGTTCCTCTTTCATATTGCATTTGAAGAACATTTGTATTGGTGGACTGAGGGAATGAGCATAAATAATTTTGGAAGCTGTCTCCTTGTTGTTTGAGTTTTGTAACAAAGCACTGTTACCCTGAAAAGCGTTTGGGTTTTGTGCAAAGTGCCGTCCTCTCCACATGACAACAAGGAAGCCTCAAACCCTGGCCGTCACCACTGCCCACCGCAGGGAGTTCTGGCTGCCCTTCCTGCAGAGCAGCAATTCCCAGACTCTGATCCACATGTCACCTTTGAAGTGATAATCCGCAGTGATATGCACGTGTTTGTTCACCCCTTTGTCCATTGTGGTATCTGCGAGAGAGTTTAAGGGCTTGACCCCTGGATCCAAATGTTTAGGAACTGCTGCTGTAAAAATATCTGCCTCCAGCAGCTCAGGTGTGTGGTGTGTGCTCTTTGGTAAAAGGGTGGTTATGTTTGAATGTCCCACACTTAGGCAGTTCCTAAATTTCCCTCCACCTTTCCTTTGGTGTTTTGTTCTGTCTTGGGTTTTTTTACTCCTGAGTGGCCTGTCGTCAGTGTCCGGTCCCACTGTAACAGGTTGTCAAGTCTCTGTTGCTGCTTACACTTTTTCTGCAGAAATTCCTGACTTCCTGACAGAGGAGGAATGCAAGCTCATCGTCCATCTGGCACAGCTGAAGGGGCTACAGAAGAGCCAGATCCTACCAACGGATGACTACGAGGAAGCCATGGAAATGATAGAAATCAGCCAGATGGACATTTTCAATCTGCTGGACCACAATCAGGATGGGCAGCTGCAGCTCAAAGAGGTAGAGTGCAGGACAGACTTTGGTGGGTTTGCTGGGGTCCTCTCCTGAGATGGTCTCTTGATTACTCATGTGCTTGGGTAAGGCCAGACCCCAGTATATACTGATTAGTATTTCTTAATTTTATTTCTCAAGACTTGTGCTGGCTTTCAGCATGGAAATTTCTGTGAAAAATGTTGTCATGCTATTGGGAGGTAGCAACAGACCTTGGCAGGAGATGTGTGTTTTTCCATATGCTGGGTAAAACGTTCTGGTGCTGTGGGTTTCCTCTTGCTGGGTGTCCCATGGAAGTGGGTTTGTAGTGCAGGCACCGCTTTGTGCAGCCTGTGGGGAGCCGACTATGCTAACTGGCAAGACACCAGCAAAGCCACCCCTGTTAATGAGCCCGGAGGGTGATGAAGAGCACCTTGTCACAGCTCTTCAGCACCCCTGCCCAGTACAGCAGGGGGCATGGGGGCTGGCGCTGGCGGTTCAAGGCTCCCGTTTCAGGTGGGGCTGGGGACACATGCTGTCATGTGGGCGTGGGGAACTGCACCAGTGACAGCCCAGGGCCAGGCTTCTTTCCCTGGAGGTCCAGAGCCTGCTGACAGCCCTCCAGGATACTGCATGTCTCTGTCCACATGGAAGGGAAGCATTTTGTTCCAAGCCTTTATCTTGGATAAGCAAAACCATTCACTTTTATCATCAATAGCTTTACTTTCCCTTCAAGAGGAAGAGCTGTGCCCCCTCCACCTCAGGTCTAGTTAACAGAGTCCAGCAGCCATTTGCCATGACCTAAACTGGAAATAACAGCACTTGCCAAGCACACTCAGTGTGTGGCTGCCAGTTGATTCTCACTGCAGTCTTCTCTCTGCAGAGATGTGCTGGTGCCTTGCTGGCTAATCTGCTGCAGAGGAGAGCCCACTGGGCCTCATGCAAGGAATATGTAGGGTTTTGGTAGTGCAAGGAACCACTGCCCAGTGTTGGTCCATTTATGAATTTCAGGTGTTGACCCATACCCGGCTTGGGAACGGCAGGTGGATGACCCCCGAAAACATCCGGGAAATGTACACTGCAGTCAAGGCTGATCCTGATGGGAATGGTAAGAGCAGCTCCATGGGAAGCCCTTTGCCCTCAGCACACTGGATGCCCCGCACAGCCATGCGGGGCAGAGCAAGAGCTGTGTCCCTGCCCAGCCCTCTTCCTTTAGCTGTGTTCTCCAAAGGGAAATAACACTGCTTTAGGAACCTTTGCAGAAAAGTAAAATCAGTGTAAATGTCTCATCACAGCAGTGCTGCCCCTTTATCACCAGTAGTCCCACCACCTGGTCTTGGATCTTGCAGAAGCAGGACCACAACAGAACTCAGCACTGCCTCTCTGCTGTCAGACCTGCCTTGTTTGTGCTTCACTGTGACAGGACCTTCAGGGTGTGCTTCTGCTCTCGGTGTCTGAGAGCATGCTCTGGCTCTGACCATGTAGCTCTTGTTACCTGAGCTGCAGGTGTTGGCGTGCACCCTCCACGCCCGCCCTGTTTCCAGGGAGACTTCTGTGGAGGCAGGGGGCCCTGCATCACTGGCAGGGGAGGGCAGAAGAGACAAAGGTGAGAGTGGTCTTGTTGGTCAGCCATTGTTGTGGATCCCCCTCTCCACAACTGCAAACTGTCTGTATTCCATGAGGCCACTTCTGCCCCTCCTGCTCCTGGTCTCCCAAGGCTCCTGCTGGTCCGGACATGCACTCTAACCTCCACTACTCCAATTAGAGCGGCCTCAATTAAGCAGCTCTCCATTTCCTAATCAAATTAAGTGAACGCACAGGCTCTGCATGCTCTCTTCCAGTGACCTGGCTTTGAGAGCTGCCCAGGAGGAGCTGGTTTGGAGTTGAAGCAGTACCCATGTGAATGCCTAAATATCCGGAGGGCACCCCGTGCCCTGCTCCTCCGGGCTGGTGGCATTCTTGGCAGAGGTTGGAGCGTTTGACTGAGTCCTTGGTGGCTTTTCCACTGTTCCGGACATTGACAAATGAAAGTTAAAGTGCCCTTGGCAGGACCTCGCTTCCAGCGAGCGGCTTCCCTCTGTTCTCAGATTGGTACGTGACACCGAGAGAGCAGGTCACAGCCTGGATGTGGCAGTGCGTCATTAAAGACCGCGCGGAGAAAGGGGAAGTGGGGATGGGCTGACACTAGAAATAATAATGGGGTGGGTAATTTGGTGAGGACCGTCCCGGGCTGACCCTGGTGGCTGGTCCCTCCTCCTGGTACAGGGTGCTGAGTGCCCGGGGCACAGAGCTGGCACTGGAGCAGCACTGTGGCTGCCACCTGAGCCAGCTCTGCCGGGCACGCGCTGGTCCCCGGGGCCTGAGCCTCGCTGCAGGGCTTCCCTTCTTCTCCAGAAACGGGCAACAACCGATGGGAGGATCTTTCTGAATCTGACCAAGGCAAAAGTCCATCCCTTACCAAGTCCAGCTGAGTGCAAACAAGGTGTCCCTGTTTTACTAGAAACCACTTTTTACCTCTCACTTTTCTGTTCTTTCTACTTATGCAAGATCATACTCTATTCTATTTCTCACTCATGTTTTGGAGTTACATGAATGCAGAAGAAGGTACTCCTTGTTTTGGACCTGGCTTTTCTAAATTACCATGCAAAGTCCTGAAGAAAATGCAGTCTGAGACGTCCCACTCTGCTCTTGAGCGTGTCTAGAGATCTGACTTACAAGCCCCAAGGCATGAAGTGCAGAGGTGTTCTAGTGGTGGCATTGCATATGTTAGACCTGTAGTGGCTCTTCCTCTCTTTTGCTGCATTGGTTTATGAGTTTCAAAGTTCAGAATGGTATTTTGCTCGTCCCAGTTCTGACCCTGCACGGCACCTAACAGTTTGCTTTTGCAGGTTGGCGTATGCCCTCTGCTGAAGGCGAGCGCGTTGCTGGGGCCTGTAATCCTGTGCAAGCGGGGTGCAGCCCGTGGAGGGAAGGTGGTGGAGGCCTTTCTTTGAGGAAGGCAGTTTCTGCAGTGCCCTCATCTGGTGGTTTCTCTGAGTAAAAGGCACCAAGACCTATTACCTGCTCCAGAGTCAGCTGGATTTTCCTCTCTTCCCATAGGCGTGCTGAGTTTGGAGGAATTTAAACAATTGAATATCCGTGATTTCCACAAGTATATGGGAAGCCAGAAAGTGAAGATGAGCGACCTGGTGCGCAACAGCCAGCACACCTGGCTGTACCAGGGCGAGGGGGCACACCAGGTCATGAGAGCCATACGGCAGAGGTAAGGGCCGGGCAGCCGAGGGGCGGTGGGGTTTGTGTAGCCACGAGACCACCTGTGCTGGGAGAGGCAGCGCCACACTTGCCAACATTCACACTTCCTAGCTGCGTGAAAGTCTTTGGAGCGTACAGAGCAGTGAACGCAGACGTGAAACGGGAAGAGGAGATTTTCATTAGAACAAGAATTTGTATTGTCCTGTGGAAGAAGGAAAAAGAAAAATCAAACCTTTCAGCGTCTCCATTCACTTTTGGGAACAGCCCTATAAAACCAAGAAGACTTGGCATTGTATGAAGTAATTCATTCTAATTAGCAAATGAGCTTACTGGGAGAAACTGCCCGTTTCCAATGCTGTCTGGGTGCCAGCAGTTACTGTCATTTGCTTGAGTTACTCATGCATTTCACTGAAATCTGTCTTAGCTGTTCAGAGCTGACTTTTTAACAAGCACGACTTCACCCCATGTAAGCGGACTTAGTTTAATCCTCCAAGCACACGTATCACAGGGCAGGTCATGGCAGACGAGAGAACCTCTCACCCTTCCCTTCATCTCAGATTTGTTACTGGGAAGCATTGAGACCCAGCAGGCAGGCCAAATCGCTTAGCTGTGGTGAGTTTCAGATAATTGGCTGGAGACTCTCTTGTTCTTGTGCTGGTCCTCGCCTGGAACATGGGTGGGTAAAATCTGTCCCAAGGCTAGAAATCGGCTGTTGGCCACTACTTTTCTTCAGTGCATTCCAGCAGGAGAATAGGGCTGCATATTGCCTTGATTAGAGCAGACTGTGGCTGCCACCTTCTCTGTGCCAGCTAGCCAGCACACACAGGCACCAGTGTGCTGCTTTTACGCTCTTCATTTGGCCACTGTTATGAGGATGTGAAGACATAGCGCTGAAGGAGGCTGTTAGTCCTCCCTGGGACCATGTGGTGCCTGGAGGGGCTTTGCCATCCTGCCTGGGTGCCACGTTGCCCTTGCACCTGCCCCGAAGGCTGTACCGGTCCAGATTCTCAGAGCTCTGAGTGTTCTTTGGCAGGTCTCAAGACGTACCTGCTTGCCTTGGGGATGATCTCAGATGTAGCAGCGGAAAAATCCCAGAGCAGGAGGGCTCCGGTCTGCTTGATCACTTCCTGTGCCCCTCTGCCCTGGCTGCTGAAAAGGCAACAGGGAAAGGTGAGTTAGGTGACAAGAATATTCCTAGAGCTAGTCTCTCATTCACTCTCAGCAGGGGCCGTGTTCTTTGCTAACTGTCCCCAAGGTCTGTAGGTGCTGTGCAGGAGTCCAGAGAAGCGATGAGATGGCACGAGAAGGCTCCAGGGACACACACAGAAAGGATCTTGCTGAGCAAGCAAAGTCTTCCTGAGAGCAGTCCTGCTGGAGATGTACCCTTCGGTTTTTGGTTTTTTTATTAACCTTGACAAGGACTTTCTGAGCAATGCCGATGGTCCAACAGATCTGTAAGGGCCTAGTTATCTCTTGGCATGCTTGCTGCAGCCTATCCGTCTCTCCGGTCTGTTGGGGAAGGGATAATCTTTCTCTGGATTTATTCACTGCTTGGGAGTAGTGGCCGGCTGGGGTGATGGTACTTTCCTCTCACCTGCTCTGCTCACCTCTTCCCCAGGGTGATGCGCCTGACTCGCTTGCCCCCCGAGATTGTGGAGCACAGCGAGCCCCTCCAGGTTGTGCGGTACGACCAAGGAGGGCACTACCATGCCCACATGGACAGTGGCCCCGTCTTCCCCGAGACTGCCTGCAGCCACACGAAGCTGGTCGCCAATGAGAGCGCTCCCTTTGAGACCTCCTGCCGGTGAGTCTGCCTGGCCCAGTCTGGAGCCTGTCCGGGGAGAGGTGTGGAGAGCTGTTTCGCCTCCCCTGGTGTGGGATTCGCCGCTCAGGCTGTGGGCTCGCCAACCAGCTCTGCAGGTCACTGGTGTGAAGGGGTTTGAAGAGGGAGGGGAGTGAATCCTATGGGTCCGAACAAGGAGGGCAGAATGGTTCTGCAGAAACGCACCTTCACCGTTCCAGGTGGGGATTTTCTGTGTTGTCTTTGTCTTGCCTTGGAGAAAAGCTGGTGATGTAAATCATGGATCTTGTGATGTCTTGGAGGAACTGCGGTCTGTGTGACAGAGGGGCAGGGTATGAGCAGCCCCTGTGTGTCCCCTCCTGTTCCAGCTGTGTCCCCTGACAGCCACTTTGTCTTGCAGGTACGTGACAGTGCTGTTCTACCTGAACAATGTGACTGGGGGAGGTGAAACAGTCTTTCCTATAGCTGATAACAGGACGTATGAAGAGATGGTAAATGAATCTCACCTACACATTACCTCGGGGGATTTCGAGTCCCTCTTTGAATGTTTTTGTTCACAGTGGCTGCAGCAGGGGTCCAGTGTGTGAGGTTGGTGGGCACTAGCCTTCATAGCTACAACGTGGGGAAGCTGTGCTCTGCTTATGGTCTTTTCCCCCTGAGGCCAAGGGCAGAGGCGCAGGGCTTGGACAGCTGTGGCTGTCCCTGCTCAGAGGCTCGGGCTGTTGGTCTTGCTGCTGTAGCGGGTCCTGCTCGCTTCTGTCTGGGCAGGCTTCCTCAGACTTAGCCTTGGCAGGCATGTGGTACTCCTGTCAGGCAACGTGTTCAGGAATGGGTGGCTGCTCAGGAACAGGTTATGAACCTCCAAGGGACTGAAACGGGCTGCTCG